CCTCCTCCTCCTCCTCCTCCTCCTCCTCCCCTTCGTCATCATCGTCGCAGTCGTCCTTACGTTCTTCCTTCTCCAGCTGCTGCTGCGCCCCCTCCTGCCGCACGACTCCCCTGCCTGCTCGGAGGTCCCTGGCCTGCGGGACTTCCAGGTTGCGTCATTGGGCCCCCGCCGCGGCCTTCCCGTCCCGCCTCCGCGCAGGCAAGGACCGGACGCATGCGTCCTGCATCCCCTGTTGCTGCTTCGGCAGCTGTTGCTGCTCCTTCTCGTCTCGTCCCCTCCCGTCCCCAGGGCCAGATTGAGTGTTGTGTCCGCTCACCGCCTCTCCCCGCCATCCAGGCCCAGATGGTTCTGGCTGCCGCCGTGCGCTGCGGGACCCTAGGTGGTCTTTGGGAGCTCGGCCGGGCGTAGACGCGTGCGTTCCGCCGCTTGGACTCGACCTTCTACGCCCCGTCGCCGTGCGCGGGGCCGCGACGCCAAAAGGGTGTGTGTGTGTGTGTCGGCGGGCAGTGCATGGGGATGGAACCCAGCCAGGGAGCAAAAGAGGCATCTCCTCGGAATCTCCCCCTTCCCCCCCCGCCGACTCTCCCTTCCTCGCCCCAGACCTCCTTTTCTCTGTCTGGACTCCCCTTCCTCCCCCCCCTGGAGTGGGCAGTGGGCACCCCTCTCCCGACCCCCCCTCGCCAGGTACGACACTCGCTCCCCCCCCCTCTCCCCCAAATCTCCCCCTCATCCCCCCCCTCTCTCTGCCTGCACCCCCCATCCTTCCCCAGACATGCGATGCTCTGCTTTCTTCAGTACGGGACCCCGACCCTTTCCCCGGGACCGGTTTTTCATTCCGAGTCGTTCTTGGACGGTCCCGGGGCGTGGCGGCCACAATATTTCCCGCCCTGATCTCTACCTTTTTTTTCACGACGCCAGCATTGCTGGGCCTTCCACCCTTGAAGTGGGCAGTGGCGCCTTTCCTCTTCCTCCTCCTCCTACCTCCTCCTCCTCCTCCCTCCACCTCCTCTCTCTCTCACTCCCCCCTCCTCCCCTCCTCCTCCTCCTCCTCCTCTCCTCTTTCTCTCCTCCTCCTCCTCCTCCACCTCCTTCTCCTCCTCCTCCTCCTCCTCCTCCTCCTCCTCCTCGTCTTCCTCGCCGAGGTACGACAACTCGCTCCTGTCCGCGGGCGCCGCCGGCGCCGCCGGCGCCGCGGCACAGGGCGCGCCGCCGCGCCTCGTCGAGGATTGCGGCCGGCGGCTCGGGGGGGCCCTGCGGCTGGCGTTGGGGGCGGCCAACATAGGGCTCGTTTCGATTCCTCCGATTCGATTCGGTTCGACTTCGAGGAGGAGGAGGAGGAGGAGGAGGAGAAGCAGGAGGAGGGAGGGGAGGAGGAGGAGGAGAAGCAGGAGGAGGAGCAGGAGCAGGAGGAGGAGGAGGGAGGAGGAGGAGGAGGAGGAGGAGGAGGAGGAGGAAAGGGGGGAGGAGAGGGAGGAGACGATTCGATTCGACTTCGATTGTTTCTGCTTCCGGTTCAAGTCGGCTTGGGGTTCCGATGGGGGCTTCAGTGTTTTGCTGGAGGCATCATAGCCTGCCGATGTCCGCCGATTCGACTTTTTCCCGATTTGGCTGCCGAGTCCTGCCGATCCGATTCGTTACGATCGCCGATCCGACTGATCGATTCGATTCTGGGCTCTCCTGCCAACAGGGTGGGGATGACTAGGGGGGGGATCTCGTGGCGGGGGCCACGATACCTCCCATAGGATTTCATGGCGCCTCTTCGTGCTTCAACACGTGCCCCTGCCCCCCCTGGTCCGCGCACGTGCCTCGGGCCATGGTTTGCACCCCCCCCTCTTGGGCGCCCCCCCTCTTGTCGGGGGCGGCAAAGAGGGGGGTGATGACTAAGGGGGGGGTGGATATCATGGCGGGGGCCATGATATTTGCCCAGATGTCATGGCGCCTCTTCTTACTTCATTGCGTCCCTGGCCCCCCCCCTGGGCCGCGCACATGCCGCCGGTCATGATTTGCACCCCCCCCCTCTCTTGGACAACCCCCTCTTTGGGAGGAGGAAGAGGAGGAGGAGGAGGAGGAGGAGGAGGAGGAGGAGGAGGAGGAGAGGAGGAGGTAGGAGTAGAGGAGGAGCAGGAGAGGAGGAGGAGGAGCAGGAGGAGGAGGAGGAGGAGGAGGAGGAGGAGGTTTGCACCCCCCCCTCTTGGGCGCCCCCCCCCTTTTGCACGCCCCCGATGGCGTCGGACAGGGTCGGGTTCGACGTGGCGCCGGCGGCCCGCGCATCTGCGCGGCCACGCACAGAGGGGGCTATAGGCTCAAGTCGGGCCTGTCCCTCTACAGGAAGAGCGTATTCTTAAAAGTAGTAACAAAGATAGTCGGTGGACGATGTTTCAACAACTTTTGTCAGTTCTTACACATTTGATAAGAAAAGAAACGGTTCTAATGATTTACGCATTTTACACATGTTTTACACCTTTTGTCAGCAACGAATATTCATTACAAGTAGTAAAAAGATAGTCTGTGGACGATGTTTTAACAACTTTGGTCACCTTTAAACAATTTGTTTGGCTATTGCGAATGCCTTGCGGCCAGTGCCGCCGACCCCGAGAACGACGAAGGTGAAAACGAGGGGGGGGGCAGGGGGAGGAGGATGAGCGGGAGGTGGAGGAAGGGTGGAGGAGATGGATGAGGGAGGAGGAGGGGGGAGAAGCATGTGGAGGAGAAGCAGGAGGAGGAGAAGGAGGCAGAGGCGAGCGGGAGGAGAGGGGGAGCACTTTGTTTGACTATTTTTTGGGGGGCTCGTCCAAAAAAATCCGCCTGTAGGAGGACACGCCCGACCTAAGGGTATAGGCCTTGTCTTCGGGGAGGCTCGCGCGAGGCCCTGGGCGCGGGGACGGTCGTTGGCCCTGCGCGGCCTCCAGGGGCCGCTGCAGGGGCACTGCTCGCGCGCTCGTGCCGTAGGCTGTGGCAGCCCATGGGCGCACTCTTTGGCGCCATGTGGAGGCGTCACTCACTGCAGGGGCACCGGGGCCGCCAGAAACGGGTCCGGGTGGACGAGCTGCACCCAGATGGGCCCCCGGAGGGGTCCGGGTCGGGGGCCGGCCGCCGTCGATCGGGGACGGCCAAGAGGGGGGTGATGACTATGGGGGGGGCATAATCATGGCGGAGGGCATGGAATCTCCCCAGATTTCATGGCGCCTCTTCTTACATCAGTACGTCCCTGCCCCCCCCCCCCGGGGCCGCGCACATGCCGCCGGCCATGATTTGCGCCCCCCCCCCTCTTGAACACCCCCCTCTTGGGCGCCCCCGATTCGAGCGACTCTGGCTGGGGTGGGGGGAGGGCCGGGAAGACAACCCGCGCCGAGGTGTCCGAACGGAAGCTAAGCTGGAGCGATCTCCGGGGCTACCCTGCGGCTCTGGCTGCTTACTCTGAAGCCCTCTTATAGCTCTCTGCGAGCTACCCGGGGAAATTATCAGGTTGTGAGGAGGGGGTTGGGCGAGAGGAGGACATCATTACTCGCAGGCGGCCGCAGGCCTCGCTCACTGCATCTGGACGCCAGTGCTCATACATATCCTCCATCCTCCCGGCGGCCAGTGGATTTGTTCATCGGGCTTTTAGTTTACGTAGTTATACACGGAGTTCGATCTTATATAAGTTATATATATGCACACATATATAGTATCTCTACATATATATATATATAATCGATGGAGGATATGCATATATATATATATATACATATATATATCCTCCATCCTCCCGGCCCCTCCCCCCCAACACGAGGGCCGTTCTCCCCAGAAGCGGAGGGCCACCCCCAGATTTGGGTCCCCGGCGGGGGCTGGACGGCCATCGCCCCGGGCACGTTGCGGTCTGGGCCGGGGGGGGCGGCCCGTCTCCAGGGCGCCGGCGCGGGGGTGCCAATTACGGTCGCGAGTCACGCGCATCGCGGGGCGCGGTGCGCGACGCTGGTCGGCCACGCCCAGAGGGGGGTACAACCTCTCTCGCAATCAAACGTTGTGGACGACGATCGTTGGAGAGGGAGGGTGTTGCCAAAAAACCCTTTGATGCCTGATACATGTTCTTAAACTTGTCTTAAACGCGAAGAGACAGTTTTAAACTAAACACTCTTAAAAACATGTTTCAGACATGACGAACGCATGTTCAAGCCAATGACAGGACTGTTAGGGTGTCCATTGTCGTGGCACCCGCAGATCAAACGCAAGTGTTTGGTGTTGGTCGACGCGCGAAGCGCGGCCCGCGGGGTCCGATTGTTGTGCCTGCGGTCGGCGGTCTCGGCGCGAACGCTGAGATCCTGGGGCCCTGGGGCGCCGCCACGTCGCGCGAAATGACTGCGCCTGACTTCGGGGGAGGATGTGAAGGGGGAGGGGGGAAGGCTTCCTGCAAGCCTCGTCAAAAACAAGCAGAAGGACTTCTGGATCAGGTGATTGTGAGGTCAGCGCTACTCCATATGCTGACGGACTCCTGTTGACTCGGGCGCGGTGTTGTCCAGAAACCGACCCCACCCCTCAGCATTGAAGGCCGCGCTTTCTGACAAGTGCCCGGACGTATCGTGCCCCAGGATTTCAACTTCCATTTCGGGATATTTTTTTGACGAGCTTTGTAGGAGCACCCCTGCTTCTTGGAGGGCGTGGGCTCTGTCTACAGCTGCGGGGCCCTTCGAGGAGGCAGCCTCCTTCCAGGGAGCCCGCCCCCCCTCCCCCTGCCCCCTCGTGCGCGCCGCCAGTGTACACGCTATCCTCCCGCCTTGCTCCTGGCATCGCTCGGACGTGTGCCTTTTTTCTCGGCGAGGATCATCGAAGAGCATCCCGGATCCTCGAGCGAGGAAAGCACGCACAGAACCGACAAATGCACAGGGAATGGACGTCCGAGCGACGGCAAGAATGGGTGCGAAAGACATGGGTATGATACAGTCGGGGCCCTGAAGAAGGAACCCTTTCCGTTGGGGAGGGGCTCCGCGTTCCTTACGTGTTTCACAGCTTGCCTCAGGTTTTCCTTATGTTTTCGATAGCAAATCGACGGTTAACTTATGGAAAAAAGGGGGCCCGTTCCTTATTTAGGGTTCCTTAGGTCAACGCCCCGACTGTACCCAGCAGCACCCGTTGTCCCAGCGCGGCAGCTGCTGCTGTTGGGCACCCGGCCGCCCGTCTGTCTCCAGTGGAAAGGGGCCCGCGGCGACACACCGACGGCGAGCCCCGCCCGCGAGGGCCAGGGCAGGCTGCCGGCCTTCGCCCCCCTTCGCTCCACGCCCATCTTGATCGTACCGTTGGGTGGACGTGCAGGGTGGAGGAGGAGGAGAAGGAGGAGGAGGAGGAAGACGAGGATAATGATTTGAATGCACCAATTTTGCGTGGCCGATGCTGTAGTCATCCCTCCCGTCCCGAGTCCCATCTGCACGAGTCTCGACAGGTACCACGTGCCACTACACGGAGCATCTGCTTGGAAGACGAGCCCCCGTCTGGCTTACCAGTCAGGTGATATCTCCGACTATGTAACCCTCCATCGAGCCTTCCACTCTTCCAGCTACCTGAACAAATCTGTAGGGTCACAACATCCAGCTGCCAAGCGAGCCCCATTTTGAGAACGAGCCCCCCTTCGCGCGTCTGGCAGGTGCATGCTTAGAAGTCCTGGAACGTCGCATCCGAGAGGTGTTCAGCGAGCTTCCCTGCTTGAACACGACTTGCTCTCGAGCCGACCTCTCGTCGAGGAGCTCTGGCGGGCTTTCCAGAGGGCCACGGCGGACGTGCTCGCGGAGTTCGGCGGCGGCCCCGCGCCGCGAGAGCTGCCGGCGGACGTGGCCGCGGAGCCCGCAGAAGCCTCCTCCTCCTCCTCCTCCTCCTCCTCCTCCTCCTCCTCCTCCTCCTCCTCCTCCTCCTCCTCCTCCCCCTCCCTCCTCCTCCTCCTCCTCCTCTCTCTCTCCTCTCCTCCTCCTCCTCCTCCTCCTCCTCCTCCTCGTCCTCCTCCTCCTCCTCCTCTCCTCCTTCCTCCTCCTTCCTCCTCCTCCTCCTCCTCCTCTCCTCCTCCTCCTCCTCCTCCTCCTCCTCCTCCTCCTCCTCCTCTCTCCTCTCCCCCTGGGCGGCGGCGCGAGGGGGGGGGGGGGGGGGGGGCAACCTGCGAGGGGTGCGGCCGTCGAGGCCGCCGGGGGGGAGGCGCCCGCTCGCCGATCGGGGGGCGATCGGGGGGCCCGCGCCGCGGGAGAGCGCGACGCGCGCCCTCTCGTGAGCTGGGGCCCGAGGGGGAGGGGAGGTGGGGGAGGGGGGAGGGGGAGGGGGAGGGGAGGAGGAGGAGGGGGAGGGGGAGGAGGAGGAGGAGGAGGAGAAGCAGGAGGAGGAGGAGGAGGAGGAGGAGGAGGAGCAGGAGGGGGAGGAGGAGGAGGAGGAGGAGGAGGGAGGAGGAGAGGAGGAGGAGGAGGAGGAGGAGGAGAGGAGGGGGAGGAGGAGAGGAGGAGGAGGAGGAGGAGGAGGAGGAGGGGAGGAAGGAGGAGGAGGATGAGGAGAGGAGGAGGAGGAGGAGGAGGAGGAGGAGGAGGAGGAGGAGGAGGGGAAGGAGGAGGAGGAGGAGGAGGAGGAGGAGGAGGAGGAGGAGGAGGAGGAGGAGGAGGAGGAGAAAGATGAGGAGGAGCACTGCCGCCGCCGCCCTCCCCCACGGCCCGAGCATGGGCCGTGGACGTGCTCCTCTCCCACGGCCCCCGGCGGCGGCACAGCCGTCGAAGGGCCGCCAGGCCACCGACCGTGCACGGTCGGGCCGAGCTGTGCCCATCGGTCCTCGACGTTACCAGCCTGGAACATATCCCTATCCCTATGCTGGGCATCTCCTCATCACGATGCCAATCTTGGGGATTCCCCTCTTTTTTGAGGGCACATCCCTAAGATTGTCATCGCCTTTTGGCGTGTCAATCTTAGGGATAGGGATAAGTTCGAGGCTGGTAATGACAGTCGGCATCGCTGGACTCCCAGATCCTCCAGGGGTGGACCTAAACGGTGTTTTGGCGGTTTCGTGGGTCGTTGTCGTTTCGATTTCGTTTTGCGTGGAGGGCGCATGGAAGACAACACGAGGGACAACGAAGACAAAACGAAAACGAGAAGCACCGTTTAGGTTCAGCCCTGAGATCCTCATCTGCTCGGGGCGCCCTCCCCGAGTGCGCCCTGGAAACGATAGGGCCGTTCTCTTAGGGGTTCCGCTTTGCCGTGGTCTTGCCGGTCCCGACGCCGTTTTTTTACCGGTTCCGTCGCCGTTCTTCTACGGGTTCCCGCTCCGGTTCAGATCCTGGAGCCGTTCTTGTTGCCGTTTCCGGTCGCCATTTGTTTGCCCTGTCCATTTTGAAGGGGCCTTTTTTCTCGGAGACGGTGAAAAAACGGCCCTGCCATTTCCGGGGCCCACGAAGCGCCCTCCTGCCTCAGGGCTCGAGTGGCTTCGCCTTTGTGTCCGTCCTCTTCAGGGGACCGCGCCCAGCCCGATCTACTTTCAGCGCCGTTCTGCCTCACGTTTCTGCCTGCTCCTTCCGACCGAGGGGCAAGTCGGCGGCGGGCCCGGGGGGGAAGTGGGCAGGAGAGGGCCTCCTGAGCAGGCTCAGAAGCCCTCTGGCCTTCTGGGGAGCTCCCCGAGCCTTCCCCGAAGACGCAGACGGCCTGTCAGAAGACAGGAGGGCTTCTGAGAAGTCCCGCCGCCTTCTGGCGAGGGCCTCCTCCCTCGCGCTTCTTCCCCTCGCTCGCTGCCGGACAAGATCAGGGTCGGGTCGGGGAGGGCACCCTGATCCTCTTCGTGGTTTTGGGGATGTTTTTGTGCGTCCTGGGGGAGGGTCGTTACCCTCGAGTGTTCTTCAGTTTTGCCCCGCGGAGGGTCTCGCGCGCTTGAAGGCTACTCCTCTGTCCCAGGTCCGGCCGTACTGCCGGTTCCAGGCCGAGGTCCCCCCCCCCCCGCCACTTCCCCTTTCGGCCAGAGCTAGGGGGCCACATGCGAACCCTCCCCCCTACCCCCCACGATTTCTGAGGGGGAGGGTGGGGTTCACTTCGCTCGGGAGCTCCCTAACGAAGTGAACCCCAGCCCTCCCCCTCAGAAATCGTGGGGGTTAGGGGGGAGGGTTCGCATGTGGCCCCCTAAGAGCCCCCCCTCCTTCTTTCGGCTCTCCTCATCCCGCCCCCCGCGCGCGCGCTAGCGTCGGGCCTTTCCCTCCCCCGTGGGTTATGATGATCCAGCCTACTTTAGCCTTGATCACCAGAAAGAATCTCGAGCACAAGAAAAACAAGTACCGAAACTCGAGGGTTTTCACGCGACGGGCCCTGGGAAACACGCGCCCGACATTGTTTCGACACTGTTTCGACCTTCTTTCGACCCTTTTCCGGGTGCTCGAAATTGTTTCTGGGATCTTGTCCTTGAGTACGGTGGGAGCAACATAACCCGCGGGCCCCGGTTGCGTGGTCTGTCCTGGGGCCTGCCCAGCGAAGCGAAGATGAGGTTCGGTTGCTGCCTCCCCCTGCTGCCGACCTCCTTTCATTCCTCCGAGGGTCGCGATGGGGGGCCCGGGCTTCCTCCCTCGTCTGGCTGGAGCCGGATCTGCGATCTGCTGTCCGCATCCTCCGTGTGCCCCCCCGACGGCAACACGAAACTGCTCAAGCTGGAAGATATTGTGTCGGGCCAGGCTAAAGCGTTGGATTTCACGTCCTCGCTCTTCACGATCGACAGCGATGTGTATGCGGTCACCCCCGAGGATCAGCGGATCTTGGATGAGCGCAGGGACACGCTCAACACGCAGTTGCAGGAGATTGCCGCGCAGCTGTTCTCGGGGGCGATGGACAAGGCCAGTGAACTCAAGAAGGCTCACGCTGAACACCTACGTAAGCTCCAGCAAAAGCGTCGTCGTGGCGAGAATGGTCTGGTGGAAGCTTGTTCTGGTGCTGACAAACAGTCTGAGCCGTCAGCGGGTACATCGGGGGCGAGTTCTGCATCAGGTTCGGTACCACCGTGTAGTGATCAGCCTGGTGCTGCTGCTCAACCTCAAGTATCTCCTGATGAAGTCGCCGTCGGTGGAGCAGATGACGCTGAGCTTGACGAACCTGAGGATGTACGGTCCAGGGCAAAGAAGGCCATGGCAGTCGCAGCCAAGGCGTCTTCTAAGGCTTCCCCCCCTGCCGCGCGCGGCTGACGCCGCTGACGGGAGGGGGGATTTCCAGGTGCCAGTACATGTCCCAGTACCAGACTTCCACGAACTGAGGGCTGAGTGTGAGCAGAGACTTCGGTTTTCACCTCGGCTCAGTTTGCGCACCTATATATATATATCATTTGTTTGCTGATGAGTCCGAAGACTCGAGCATGGGCCACGGGACCGTTTCCTGTCGGAGTGCTCTGAGTTACGGCGTGTCAGCCTATCCCGCCGATCCCCCCCAGGGCAATGAATCGGCCAGTTTTGGACAGCAGAAATTTTTTGAGGCAGCCAGTGCTGCCAATTTGTCATCTTTGGCTCTCGAGGTCGTGTCATGCAACTGCACGGCTTGGAACACGGCCAAAGATTGGCTGCTCACCACCTCGGCCCATGTGGTCCTCCTGCAGGAACACCATTTGGGAGCGGATCGGATCGCTGAAGCTCAGCAGTGGGCTCTAAGGAACGGGTGGAAGATGCTCGCGCTGCCAGCTAAGGTTACGTCGACGACGGGGGCCTCTGCGGGGGTGGCGGTCATGTGCAGGCACTTCGTCGGCCTCTTCGAGCCCCCTGGAGGCTGTGAGCTGGTCCCGTATCGTGCTATCGGAGTTTTCGTGAATCTTGGAGGGCAGCAGCCCGTTGCGGTGGTCAGCTGCTACCTCCGCGACTGCCAGGGACTTTCGGATAGCAATCAGTTCATTATGTATAAGATTGGCGGATTCGTTTCCTCCACCCTCAGCGGCTATGTGTTCGGAGGCGATTTTAACATGGAGCCGCAGGTGTTAGGGGAATCTAAATTTGTCGAAACCCTGGAGGCACAGCTTGTGACCTCGGGGAGCCCGACGTGTACGTCACGTCCGAGGCTGGGTCGAAAAACTATGATTATTTTATTGTGTCTAGTGGGTTGTCTAAAGGTGTGCGTTCGGTTGGAGTCGACCGCAGTGCCCCCGCGCCCCCCCGTGCCCCTGTCGCGATCAAGTTCCACTCGCAACTGTATGAGCTCAAGGTGTTGGCTTTCAGGAAGCCTCCTCCCTTGCCGTCTGTCGCGCCTGTGGGGCCTTGCCCGTGTCCACCGAGTTGGGAGAGAGAGGAAGTGATTGCCGAGTCTGTCCTTAGTGCTGCGCGAGCGGGTGATAAGGACTCGGGGGTCTCGCTGAACAAGCTCTATCAGGCGTGGGCGAACAAGGCTGAACGCGAGCTGTGCGGTTTGTACCAGGAGGTCCTTCCTAAGATGGGGTGTAGAGGGGGGGTTCCTAAGACTTGGTGGGTGGACATTCACAAGCGAGACCACCGTCCGTGTAGACACCCCCAGTTGTTTATCATCAGGTGGCTGGCCCACGCTTTCCGTGCGTGGCGCCAGGACAAGCGGCCTCGTCGATGTGTCTCGGAGCGCGTTGATGATGGCATCCACGATCCCTCTGACTGGACGGCCTCTCTTCTCCACCCCTCCAAATTCATTTGCGACCACATCTCTTCTGGTCCCCACGGCCCCTTGCTGTCCGAGGTCCAGTCAGAGATTCCTTATGTTGAACAGGACCCTGCACGGGCTGCAGGCCTACAGGAGCGGCTGGACGCCGCGGTTACGGTTGCCTGCACTCTCTCGCGCCAGGAGGGAGAGCAGTCGTGGAAGGAATGGCTTCAAAAGGACTTGGGCCAAGGGGCGAGATCGGCCCATCTTTGGACGAGACCAGTTGAAGCCTGGGTTCCGTCCTCGACTCTTTCGGCTCTCGGCCAGGCGGTGGCTGATCCTCTGGCGCTGCTTCAGGCAGAGGGAAAGCGTTTCTCGGCGCTCTGGCTGGCTGACTCGAGTGTTGATGATTTTCCTGAGACTTGTGATTTCATTCCCTTGGGGCCTTTGTCCAGAATCACTCCTGAGCAACTTAGGTCAGCCAGCAAAGAGTGCGCGGGTAGATCGGCTGTTTCGGTGGGCGGGTTCCACATGCGTCATTTCAACAGTCTCTGCGACGGGGCCCTCAGAGTGTTGTCTTGCATCCTTGCCATCTGTGAGGTCACTTCCTCGTTGCCTCTTCAGATTCGCCTTGTGATGCTGGCTATGCTCCCCAAACCCATGGGGGGGACTCCGTCCTATTGGGATTTTCACCTCTTTGTATAGGATATGGGGGGAAATACGTAGGCAGTATGCGCTGGAGTGGGAGGAGTCCCACATGAGATCGTTCTTCGGTGGCTACGGTTTCAAGAGCGCCTCCGACGTAGTCTGGCGCCAGACCCTTCGCAGCGAGATGTCCACCAGGCGAGGGGACGTCGCTGCCTCGGTACTTTGGGACTTGTATAAGTTCTACGAGCTGATCGATCTCGAAGCTCTCGCGTCCCGATGTATTGAACAAGATTTCCGAAAGTTATAGCTCAGTTATGTATCAACGCCTACAAGGCTATGAGGTTTATCAACGTTGCTGGTAATATCGATGGGCCCTACAGGGCCATTGGGGGAGTGATAGCGGGATGTAGTATGGCTACCACGTTTGTTCGCATATATTACATTCGCTCGTTCTCCTCCATCCTTTTTTACCCCCCGACCTCGCTCGACCTCTACATTGACGATACCGGGTTGATTGCCACAGGTAAGTTCAAAGATGTGTTGCGAGGTTTGAAGCACGGCTCGGCTGCAGTATTTAAGGCAGTGGTGGACGAGCTGCATTGTGAAGTTGCTCCCGACAAAGCGGGGGTCATTGCCAGTTGCCCCAAGCTGGGAAGATGTTTGCAGGAGTGGCTCGGCAAGTTCGCTGGATCAGGTACCAGTAGCACGGCTGTTAATCTTGGGATCGATGACACTGCTGGCAAGACCCGGAGGCATAGAGGTCGCAACCCCAAGCAGCGTCGCCCGAGCCAAAGTTTTTCAAAACAGAGTTAGTCGTATTGCCCGACAAAAACGTTTCCTGGGAAGGTCCGCTACCAAGTTGTTTGTGTCTGGTCCTTTACCTGGTTTGCTTTACGGGTCCGAGGTCCACGGTGTGAGCGACAGAGAGCTGCAGACCATTCGTGTGGCTGCGGGCAAATGTTTAAGGCCGTCCAGCGGGAACAGGTCTCTCACGGCTGCCTTGGCGATGGAGAATGATCCCTGCTGGTACGGAGCGTGCGCGCCTATCATTCGGTGGAGCAAGGAGGTTTGGGCAGGTCAGTGTCATTCTTTCCTCTACTCCATCCCGGTGTCCGAGTTGAACCGTGCATGGTCTCTGGTTTTCGAGGAAGGAGCCAAGATCACCAAATGATATGAGGTCTCTGGGCCTGTCTCTGCGCATTATTTATCGCTCAAGAGGCTTAAATGGACCATGCCTAATTTTGCCACCATCAGAGACCATGAAGGAGTTGATATCCTCCTCACCTTCGTCAGCCCCACCCTCCTCAAAGACCTCGCTCGCAAACAGTGCGTTCGTTTGTTAGAGCGCAGCCTTGCCAAGAAGCGGGAGGCGGGATGGGACAGAGTCTGCATGGACATTGTGCGTGCTCAGGCTAGCAGTAAGAAGTATTCGGCACTTGGCCAAGGATGCATTCGTAATCTTGCTTGCAATGGTGTTTGGACCGCAGATCGTGCTGCGAGCCTAGGATATGACTTGCCTGAAGAGCGGCTTCTTTGCCCACCCTGTGGCATGGAGCGTGATACTATACATCGCAGGTTGTGGACCTGCTCTGCCTGCCAGGACGAACGGGAGGAGATCGCCAAGGCCTCAATTCGTGATCAAGCGTTGTCCGATCTGTCTGATGGTGATCGCCTCTTGTTCTGTCGTGGAGTTTTCGAGCACCCGTGCGCTGCCCGGCCTGCTCCGCTCGCGTCGGGAGGGGCGGAGATCAGATCGGACGGTTTTCCTGAAGGAGAAGACGGGGACATGGCTGGTAAGCTGTTTTTCGATGGCTCGTGTTTCAGGCGCCCGATTGCTGACCTCTGTTGAGCGGGCTGGGGCGTGAGCAGGGTCGACGATGAAGGCTGCCTCTTGTCGTCTGTCTTCGGCCCTGTGCACGCTCCGCTGCCTCAGAGCGCTCCTGCAGCCGAATGTGTTGCTCTAGGCATGGCCAGCTTGCAGACAGTTGGTCCAGCAGAAGGGCACTCGGACTGTTCAGCGGTCGTCAAGCATTACCAGTTGCCAGCCGTGGAGCGTCTCAGTTATAAACGAAAATATTCTGGTGTGTTTCAATGCGTGAACAAGTGCCACAATCTTTCGAGTGTCTCAAAGGTGCGTGCGCGCCTAGACCCTGAGGAAGAAGGCATTTCGGATGACGAGCGCGTGCGCAGGCGTGGCAACGGCCATGCAGACACAGCAGCGAAAGCGGGAGCGGCCAAGCACCCTCGCCCCGCGAACGCTGTTGACGAAGCACTCTCTCGAATGATTGCGATTTCCAAAACTGTTTGCCGTCTGGCTGCCACTCTGCTTCCGCGATGGCCGCGCCTAGACATGTCTGATTGCGTGCTGATCAAAAGGCCTAGGACTGAAGGTGGCCTGGCCGAGGTTCCTGTGCATCAATGGAACAGACGTGGCAAGTTTTGGCAGTGCTCTGTATGTTACGTAGGCTCGAGGGCGAAGGATCCCCCCTTGCCTGGACGTTGTTCTGGGATTCAGCCAGCTGCGCGCACTAATCTGGATGTTGCAGACCAGCTTGGCCACTGTGTGGTCGTTCTCACTTGCTCTGACGGTGTGGATTGCTACCTGTGTACAGTTTGCGGTGCCTTCTTGTACCGAGGCAGGTTCGAGAAAAGTGGACTTTCCTCTGCATGTTTTGGTAGTCTCAAGCGCCACGGGCGCACTAATTACAACAGAGCCCTACGGGGCCGCCACCCGCGAGAGCCTGATCTCAGGGTGGACCCCTCTCCTCTGAGCCTCCTCTTCCTCCCTCGGTGCGGGGCGGCGGGGCGGGGTCGGAGCTGGGGGGGGGGGTGATGTATACGATGGAACAGGACAGTTCCGTCGTGT